CGTAGTTGATTATATATGATAATTTATAAAGTCTGTCCAACGAGTCAGGGAAATTTTCGAGTTCACATATAATAAAAAAAAACAATTTACCTATGAATTAATATGACAAACACAACTGTCAAGTATCCTCTTGTTGGATATATTTTATTATAAGTACGCGTGTTTAAAATCTAAATATACAGGGTGGCGTCTCTCATACGCCGCGGAAGCTCAAAGGGAGAACGGTATTTTATATCGGAAAGAAATTTTGGCAGCGTATGTAGGTTAACTGAAAGCATTTTATAAAAGTATATAGAATTATACAGGGTGTCCCCAAAAAAGTTACACATGAAAGTTGTGTTTTTTCTAATGGAACAACCTATATATTAATTGATTTTCGGATTCTAGGAAAAAATAAAGGTGAGTTTTATTAAAGAATCATATACCCAAAATCTAACGATTTTGACATATTTCACATTTTGTGAAAATGAAGAGTAAATTTCGATAACAGCTACCTAAATTTTAGTTGACCTTTTATAGCTTGATATTTAATTACAGTAACCAATGTATGTTAAAGCAAATTGAAATTTGACCCGAAAAGTTATACAGGATGAGACAAAATTAATATGCAACAATTTGTCACTTTTAAAAGCAAGTTACTCCTTTATTTTAAATGGAACACCCAGTATATTTTTCCGGTGTTCACTAGGGAATTTATATATCTTCAAAATATTATTAAGGTTGCCTACCCCTCAGACAAAGATTTTCCTAGATATTTTAATTTTTATGATTTTGCCTGACCAACTGTTTGATAGGTATACCTTTTGATAATTTAACAAAAATTAAAGATTGTAGAGTAAAATACTCAACGGTAATAAAAAGATACACGTTTAAAACATACTTTAATTATTACAGAATTAAAACTAGATATAAACCTATAATTATGTGACAAAAATTAGCTAAATGAAATCAAATGCTCAAAATGTTTCCTTTCCTGTTAACTGCATAAAATGATTGTTTTTTGAAAAGGATCTTTTCATTTTAAAATGCATTTATGTGGAGTTCTACCTCAAAAAGCAGCTACAATAATTTCTCTCATTTTGTCGACAATGTCTTTAACATATCCCGAAACACTGTCTTTAACATATTCCCATAAAAAAAACATAAAATAATTGGTGAATGCACACTGCATTCACCAACTAATAGAATCATATCAATTCTCTCTGATGTAGGATAAGTTTGCATTTTCGGCAAATTTTTGAGACATTTTTTTGTTTTAACTGATGCAAAGTGGTAACTAGTTGTTAAAGTTGGACTAATTAGACAGCTATGTTGAAGTAACGTCAGACATATCACAGCCACCTAGATTTTATCAAAAAATAAAGATCTACTCAGATCAAATCATGTAAATGAAAATATCTAGGAAAATCTTTGTTTGAGGGTAGGCAACCTTAATAGCATTTTGAAGAGACATGAATTCTCCATTGAATATCGGAATAATATACTGGGTGTTCCATTTAAAATAAAAGAGTAACATGCTTTTAAAGGTGACCAATGTTCAATATTAATTTTGTCTCACCCTGTATAACTTTTTGGATCAAGTTTTAATTTGACTTAAAATACAATAGTTAATTTAACTACATATTAGGTTATACCGGGTAAATTCCAATTTAGGCAGCTTTTATTGTAATTTAAAAATTGTTCTTTATTTCTAGAAAATAAATAATATAAATATGTCATAAAACCTAACATTTTAGTCATATGCTTCTCTTATAAAACTCACCTTTGTTTCTCCCAGAATCTGAAAATCAACTAATATATAGTGTTCAGACGAATTGTTAAATGCGGCAACGTTGCCTGTATCGAAGAAAGACAGTTGAAGGCAGTCTCGCCTCAGCCGCCGATAGAAATGTTACTCGTTGCAATAAATCATTTAAAATTATACAGTCCACAGTGTTTTAACATCAAGAAACCCCAACAGAATTGGTCCTCTCGCGGATTGCATCCAGGGCAAGAAGGTAGGAGCTGAAATTACTTGAAAATTGAGAAAAAGGCTGATCAAGGTCACTAGTTTCCAAGCGGCATCTCAACATTTCACTCCGCCAGTTGGCGTAGCACGGACATCGGCGAATCGTCAAAGGGAGCTCAAGCGTGGAAGAAATATATTTGCGCCAGTGGACAAGTAAGGTCGTATCCTTTTTAATCATTTATTTTCACCTTATCCTTATCTGTCCTTTGAACTTAAATTGCTTTTTTGCATCAGCAACATGTCTGATTTAATTGAATTTAAACAGAAGAGGAAAATTGCAAAAGGAAAATTAACCAGATTAAATAATTTTATTAGTAATTTAGATGAAAATAATATCGATGAGTCGGAGTTAAATAATTTACAAACGCGGTTAGACAAAATTGAACCGGTATTGGAAGAATACGAAGAGATTCAAACAAATATTGAATTAATAGAACCGTCGGACACAGATGATAATGATAGGCGCGATTTCGAAAATACATATTTTACCTTAATAGGTAGAATAAAATGTCTGTTAAATACGAATGCACGTGGCTCGGTTGCTATGCAAGATACTGGTTCGAATGCGAGTGCGTCTAGTTCTCATTCAGGTAGACATACTAGACCTGGTAGTTCGGTTAAGTTACCACCGATAAAGTTACCTGTCTTTGATGGTGAGTATGCCAATTGGTTAGATTTTAAGGAAATGTTTAAGGCTTTAGTTGACAGAGACGAATCATTAAATAAAATTCAAAAGTTTTATTACTTGAGAAATTCTCTAACAGATTCAGTTAAAGATAGGATTAAATCTATTGAACTTACCGAAGAAAATTATGAGGTTGTTTGGAACATTTTAAACGAGCGTTATGAGAGTAAACAGTTAACAGTTTACAACCACATAAATGCCATATTTGAATCTCCTAAATTAGAAAAAGAATCTTCGGTAGGTTTAAGAGATTTGCATGACAATGTCACTAAACATTTACGGGCGTTAAAGAGTCTGGGTGAATACGTAGAGCATTGGGATAGGCTTATTATTTATATAATAGCGAACAAGTTTGATCCTACAACAAAGCGCGATTGGGAAACGTACACCCCGGAGGGGGAGTTAGCGACTCTAAAAGATTTAGAAAAGTTTTTGAAGTTTAAATGCCAAGTTTTGGAAAAATTAACAATGAATAACGCGAATTTAGCCGTAGAAAAAAAGAAGAATTTTAATCAGGGGAAGCTACGTACTAGTTCTAGTTATGTAGCCACTCAAGAGTCAAACAATAGGTTATCTTGCTATTATTGTAATGGCGGACATACGATTTTTAAATGTTCTGATTTTTTAAGATTTGAGCCGGAAAAAAGAATGTCAGAAGTTAAGAGATTGAAATTGTGTTTAAACTGTTTTAAACCAACACATACTGCGTGGCAATGTAAAATGTCAAGGTGTTTCAAATGTCATAAACCGCATAACACTTTGTTACATGACAGAAATTATGAAGCGCAAAATATCTCGGCGACCGTTGGTGCAAATATAGCGAACCCTACACTTCGGAGTATAAGCGGCGAAACCAACGTTGCCAGTGGAGCTGAGGAGCGGCACGTAGTTCAGGAAAAAGGCCAAGAAACTATTTCTTTATTAAATTCGGATAAAATATATGATAATAATAAATTTATGTATGTAGAAAGCCACGCTCAAAGGGTATTAGCTACGGCGATCGTTTTCGTAAAATCAGGAGAGAATAAATGGGTAAAATGTCGCGCATTACTTGACGGTGCGTCACAAAGCAATATCATGACATGTAATTTAAGCAATAAATTAATGCTAAAATGTTCAGAGACTACTCACGTATTGAGGGGTATCGGAAATGCATCTACCTTGATAAATGATCAAGCGAATATCACGATTAAATCCCAATACGGCAATTTTACTAAGGATTTGCGCTGTCTAGTTTTACCAAAAATTACAGAAAATTTGCCGACTTACTCGTTTGATAAAAATTTAATTCAAATTCCGAAATATGTTAAAAGCCTAGCAGATCCTGAATTTAATATTAGTTCAGAAATAGACCTTTTATTGGGATCGGAAATATTTTGGATATCATTATTAACTGGTAAAATATCTTTGGGTAAAAACGGACCGGTACTTCAAAATACTGTATTTGGGTACGTACTTGGGGGCAACCTACAAATTGGTTCACCTTGGAATATTGGAAATAATATGTCCACGACTTGTCTTGTACGTAACCATTTGAATAATACCAAAGACGAATGTAATGATGCGTTGGTAAGATTTTGGAATATAGAGGAGGTAACAACTGATAAATCAAATCTAAGTATTGAGGAAAAAATATGTGAAGAGCATTTCAAGAAAACGACGACAAGAGATGATCTTGGAAGATTTGTAGTAGATTTACCGTTCAATGAACAGTTGGTAAACTTGGGAAATTCCTATGACAATGCATTACATCGTTTCCAGTTGCTTGAGAAGCGATTAGGAAAAAATCCACAACTGAAGCGTCAGTATTGTGAATTTATGTCTGAATTGGAAGAAATGAAACATATGTCTGAGGTACCTGATCTAGAGAAGGTTAGTTACGTTGAAGGTTACTTTATGCCACATCACAGTGTTATAAAAGAGGATAGCCTCACCACGAAATGTAGAGTTGTTTTTGACTCTTCAGCAAAAACGAGTTCCGGTCTCTCTCTAAACGATGTCCAGAGAGTTGGACCTAATTTACAACAAGATGTTTTCTCAATTTTAGTGAGATTTAGGAGATATAAATACGTGATGACAGGTGATGTGTCAAAGATGTTTCGACAAATTTTGGTGAATGATAAATATCGGAAATATCAAAGAATTATATGGCGTCCAGATCCTTTAGAGATTCTAAAGATCTTTGAGATAAATAGGTTAGTTTTTGGAAACGCTTCCTCACCATATATCGCCGTAAGATGTTTATTTCAACTAGCGTTTGAAAATGAGGAAAAATATCCAGAGGCATGTGAAAGAATTAAGAATGACATGTATATGGACGACTTATTGACTGGTTCAGATTCCAGCAATGAATTACTAAGTATGCAAAGGGATATTTCAAGTATATTGGCTAGTGCAGGATTTACGTTAAGAAAATGGCTCACAAATGATCATGGTCTCCTAAAAAGGTTTGAAGTGACAAAGGAAATAGAAATAAGTATCGTGAGTATAGGTGAGAATGAACAAAATAAAACATTAGGGGTGTACTGGAATTCCAGTCAGGATTTGTTCCAGTACAAAATAAGTGACTTTGACAATTCCCAGGGACGAGTTACGAAACGGCGTATTCTTTCAACTACTTGTCAGATCTTCGATCCCTTGGGATTGCTAGGCCCTATAATAATAGTAGCGAAACTTATTATACAAGACCTTTGGAAATTGAAACTAGATTGGGACGAAGACGTTCCACCAAATTTAAGACAGAAATGGTTAAATTTTCAAACTGAATTACCAGAAATAAACAGGATTGAAGTTCCTCGTAGAGTTGTGTTCACAGAAAGTATGCAAATAGAGGTTCATGGATTTTGTGATGCCTCAGAAAAGGCTTACGGAGCATGCATATATTTAAGGTGCGTGTTTAATTCTGGACGAATAATATCAAATTTAGTTTGCGGCAAGTCAAGGGTAGCGCCTATAAAGCAAGTCAGCCTACCGCGCCTTGAATTATGCAGTGCATTATTGTTAGCCAACCTAGCAAAAAGAGTTGTATCAGACATGAAGATACAGCACTTGAAGCAATACTATTGGTCAGACTCGATGATAGCATTGGGGTGGATAAGAAACCCATCTAAGAGATGGAAAACCTTTGTTGCCAACCGAGTCAGCGAGATACAGACTCTAACTAATATTGAATCGTGGTCCCATGTAAAATCAGAGGAAAATCCTGCGGACTTACTATCCCGTGGAGTAAGTATTATTTACCTGATCGATTGCGAACTTTGGTGGCACGGTCCAAAATGGTTAGAACAAGACACTAGTAGTTGGAACTCTTCGGTAAAATCGACGTTAATGATCTTCCAGAAGAAAAACTTGTAACTTGTATGACGATATTAAAAGGGACAATATAATTATGAATTTGATATTAAAATGCTCATCTCTACAGAAGCTCCAGAGAGTAACTGCTTATGTATTAAGATTTATTAGCAATCTGAGAACAAAAGAAAAAACACTCAGGAATTTTGAAAATTTAACTCCCAGAGAATTAGATAACTCTTTAAATATTCTAATTAAGACAATTCAGGTTCATGTTTACCCGAGAGAATACGAAGAACTACAAAAACAAGGATCTGTAAGTAAAAGGAGTGTACTACTGCCTTTAAATCCGTTTATTAAAAATAATTTAATAAGAGTAGGGGGCAGATTAAGATATTCAAACCTGCCTTTTGATAAAAAAAATCCAGTTATTTTACCAAAAAATCTAATCATTTAACTACACTAATTTTAGAACATGAACATAAACGATTATTACACTGCGGAGTTCAATCTTTATTATGCTCCATAAGGGAAAGGTATTGGCCTATTTCAGGGAGGAATTCCTGTTAAAAGGTAAAAAATAGTTGCGTTACTTGTTTTAAAGCCAATCCTACGGTTGGTACTTATCTAATGGGTGATCTTCCAGACGTCAGAGTTAACAGTTATTCTCCTTTCATACATACAGGTGTAGACTATGGTGGCCCATTCATTATCAAAGACAGAAAAACGAGAGGTGCGAAATTGTTAAAAGCATATGTTTGTTTATTTATTTGTATGAGTACACGTGCGGTGCATCTCGAACTAGTATCTGAATTGACAACTGCTGCATTTTTATCCTGTTTGCAAAGGTTCGTAAGTAGGCGCGGAAAACCGAGTAAAATATTTTCGGACAACGGATTAAATTTTGTTGGAGCTAACAATGAACTCTCCAAAATATCTGATTTTTTAAAGGAAAATGAAACGGTGATCGTAAATCATTTAGCTAATGACGGCATCTCTTGGCGGTTTATACCCCCTAGATCTCCACATTTTGGAGGTATATGGGAAGCGGGAATTAAAAGCACAAAGCATCATATTAAAAGGCTTTTAAAACACCCTCTAACTTACGAGGATTTTTACACGTTGCTGGTGCGCATTGAAGGCATTTTAAACTCCCGCCCACTATGTCCTATCAGCCAAGATCCTGACGACCTAAGCGCATTAACACCTGCACATTTTTGGTTGGAAAACGCTGACGGCACTCCCGGAATTTAATGTGACTGATGTCCCAGAGTCCAGATTGGATAGATGGCAGCACATTCAAGCTATTTCACAACATTTTTGGTCTCGTTGGAGTAAAGAATACCTTGGAGAACTACAGACGAGAACAAAATGGAGAACACAATCCCAAATGCATTTAGCGCTTGGAGCTTTGGTAATAATTAAAGACGAAAATGCTCCCTGGCAAATGGGCAGAATAATCAAGCTTCATCCAGGGAAGGACAACGTAGTTCGCGTTGTGGACATAAAGGTGCCGAATGGTGAAATTACGCGAGCTGTGAACAAGATTTGTATCTTACCTATTAATTAATGTTTTTATTTTTATGGTTATTCTTTTGATGTTCAAATATGTTCGTTTTATACCCAATATTGTATTTGGTTAATTGAGATTTTTGTGATTAATCCATTTAATGTATTACGTTGTTTTACTTCTAGATTTAGAATTCATTTAAGTTAAAGGGATTAATAATTATATTAAATATAAACTTAATTTTGTATTAGTTAAGTTGCTAAAATGTAAAATTTGTTTGAAATACTATGTATTGTCAAGGCGGGCGGGATGTTCAGACGAATTGTTAAATGCGGCAACGTTGCCTGTATCGAAGAAAGACAGTTGAAGGCAGTCTCGCCTCAGCCGCCGATAGAAATGTTACTCGTTGCAATAAATCATTTAAAATTATACAGTCCACAGTGTTTTAACATCAAGAAACCCCAACATATAGGGTGTTTCATTACAAAAAAATACAACTTTGATATGTATAACTTTTTGGGGGACACCCTGTACAACTCTCTATATTATTAAAAAGTGCTCTGAATTCACCTACATATGCTCACAAAATTTCATTCAATACAAACTGTGTTTCAATACAAACTCCTTGGAGCTTTTCTTGAGAGGCGCCACTCTGTATATACATGTACAGGCTGTTTCAAAAGACATGTGACATCTCTCGTGGGGTTTTTTCACGTAAAATTAAAATTTATTTTTTATACAGGGTGAACCTTAAATAAGTACAAATATTTTCAGGGCTGGTCGATCTCGATAAAGGAAACATATTTTCTCTTTACCGTTTTTCAAATGAGGCGAAAACTTCAAATGATTTCGAGAAAAAGAGTTAAGGTGTTGATATATCTCTTCGCCACCAAATATAATATTATTTCAGGAATGTGTCTATGCACTTAACTCGTTTTTTTAAACGTCACTACACCCCTTTGCTTCTTACCGCCTCAAATAAGTCCAAAATAAACCGAGTTAATTTACTTTGAAAATGTCTAAGAAAAACGATTTTTTGCTTAAATTTCCAGAGAACCATTGGAAAAAGTTAGAAAACTAGAATTAATTGAGTTGATACTATCTGATTTTATTTGTATGTGAATGTAACAACAATAATTCAAGGATTATGAATTATTGCTAGTCAAACTTCTTTAACTTCGACAGTGACTTACTCACCGCATCAAAATTCTAAGGTTGTAATAATTCTAGAATTGTTACAAACTTCAAATTTTGAATTTTAGGCAGCTTCAAGGTTATAATGACAGAAAAAAAAGAAAAATCTTGAAATATCTCTATTTATGGTTATTATGTTTAGCCGCTACCGGTAATTGACTTTCCGGCGATGGTAATAGGAGAAACGATGACAGGATTGTTTGGAAAAATTGGATTTTTATATAAAGGCACCTGCTCCGTCTATCTAAAATTTTATCAGCGTTACAGTGTTACCGGATCATTTAAAAATGATAGCATCTTTGTTATTTTAAAGGAATAAAAATAATTTTAAATAACACCCAGTATATTATTACATTTTTGGACCAAACCAAACTTTCATATCTCATAATTTTTCTATTACTAACCTATCTCTTATAGATTTCCACATAAAAAATAAAATATGTCTAGAATTGACAAAAACATGATTTTGTTTAAGCATTGGTAAAATCATGAATGGAACATTTTTAAAGTTGAAATTTGGGAAAGTGTATTTAGTGATTCAAATGAAGGAAATGGTAGAGGTTTAAAAAGGCAGTAATGTCAACATTACTATATCATATCTACATTTCAGTTCCCTTTGGTATTGTGTTCAAATTTTATAGTATAATCTTTTTAACCCACTTTTTTGACATTCTAAATCTCCTCTCACGACTTGATAATTGTTGCATTATGAAAACTTCTAAAGGATTAATCTTAAATTCAAACATTCGATTTACATTTTATACAATGATCTGACACAATTTTTGATTTTGTTTACAATCGGAAACAGTTAAGCGATTCACACGTACTCAAGTGCACTTTAAGTGACTGTTTGAACCTGTAAAATGTTTATTTTACTAACTAGTGACCCCTGTCATTTTCCGATTTGTGTACACAACATCTTATTCGGAATAGAGCCATTAATTAAGTTTTAGGAAAAGTAGGACATTATAATTAAAAAAAATATAGAAATATGAGTAGGTCATAGGTACTCGTATATAAGTTTATGCCATATTTGTACCTATCACTCTCATGTAGAAAGGACAATGTTCTTATATGAAATTAAAGTAACAGAACTATAATGGATTGCAAAATATGCAATTAGAATATATAGGTATATGACAACTAATGGTTTTGTGTGTAATGCCACAGTGTTGCTACATTTTCTTTATTGTCGACAAATAGAACATTTTAATTTTTACATTTTTTGCTATACGCTTAATAACTGATAATCTGATCTGATCTAGGCAGGAAAAGAAATGGAAACAGTTTGAAGCAAGTACTTCTTGATGTCTGTATAAATTTTAAAAATTTAAAAAAATATAAAGTTATTTCTCCTTATAAAATACTACTGCGTGAAACCCAGACTCAATCCAAACGGAAACCAACTAAAAGCCGAACTGAAGAACCTGGAAGACTCCATCTGTAACCTGGAATGGGAGTCCTTCAACGGTCTAAGACACTCAGGAAAGTTCCTCAGAACTTACGACAGAGAAAAATCAAAGGTTTTCCTTGATTTAAGTAAAAACAATCTTCGGATTATCACGGGGTTTCTAACAGGACACTATCTCCTCAACGAACACCTCACTAGGTTGAAACTGAGAAACAACGGCGAATGCAGATTTTGTGGGGAAAATGGGAAACACCAGAACACCTTATCACTGAGTGCGCCGAGACGACGACCATTCGTGCCATGAACCTTGGTACGTTTGATGTCGAGGATGGAGAGCTGGCCTCTGTGGAGCCGTCTCAGATACTGGCTTTTATTAAAGCCCTGGGACTGTATGATGAGTTATAACTCAAGAAATAGACAATAGATCTATAAGGTCGCGGTGTTTAATTCCCCTCCTAAACATTCTACATTCTACATGAAAGATGTCACTTACTCTCTATATAAAGCATGACACTGTAAGAAGAAGAACTGTATATGTATATAAAATCGTATATGTCTTTCTATTTTGAAAATCATTCTCTATATCACTTGTTTCGTTTTATTGTTTCCATTCAGTCTCTCTCCATTTAGTTAATTTTTCCCACCAATTATTTCTTTTAGCCACGGGACCAGTTCAATTTTTTTATTTACAGTTAATCTTTACTAGATCTGTTATAGTTTTTGAGATCCGAATGGTCATCCTCGTTTGGGACACATTTCCTCGCTTTGGTTTTGGAAGCATCAGTATACCATGTGTTTTACATGTTGAGCAAACTTTTCCCTCTTCAAATCCTTTTTATTGCTCAATACAAATAATCAATACGTGAGATATTTCTCAAAGTTGTACATTCTTGGTATGTCATCCACTGGGAATTAGTAATCTGGAATTTTCAACTTTGAAAAACACCC